TAGAACGGGTAAATCTCAAACGTGATCGGTCGGTCTGAGAAAAAAATAAGTAGGGAGGAGAGAAATGGAACGGCAAAGAAATTCGAATAAACTTAATTCACATTACATCCGTGTTAAAGATTCATCTATAATGATTTACATCTCAAAAATCAAGAACTTCAAAATTCTACGATTTAATTTTAATATCACAAACTTTAACAAGAAAAATAATACTGATCAATATTAACTCGACAAAATTGAATTATTTCATTATTCTATTCGGAAAGTGACAAGAGCTCTTTTGAACAAATTTCAAGTTTCAATGTTTACGAAGACTCGAGTTTTCTAAATCACAAATTCAACTTCCGTTCCTCCATCTTCTTCGTGCGACTAGTATCGATCCTGCTTGACTACTTGATAATCGAGAAAACCTTATTGAGAGGGTAGGAAAACAGTAATAATTCCTAAAGAAAGGAATGACCTCGTTAAGCCCAAATAGCGCCGAAAATTTTGAGAATCAAGGCGGCAAACGTTATGTTTTTTCCATGTACATAAAAATTTCTATGGACATCTCGACCTACATCTTAACTCGTTATCGTTTTTACAATGATGGTTTTATCGTAAAATCGCAACCGAGAGCGAATACGATAAAAAAGAAAAATTACAATATGGACGGGTTTCTCACTTCCTCGAGACGTTTATATTTATGAAAAAGTTCCTAGATATCCTTTAGATTATAGAGAGGAAGCCTTGTAGATATTTAGATATGTAGATCCTGGTAGATAACATTAATTTGCGAATTAATTTATGAATTCTTGGGTCTGTGAATTCTTACACCTTTGAAAGTGTAGATTGTTGAACTATTAGATATTCGCGTCATCTTAGGATTCATATAGATCCTCGAATTCTTGGACTCGAGAATTCCCAGTTATTAAATTCGGTTACCTTGAAATTTTTAGCTTTGCTTGAAATCGAGCTAAGTTAAATATTAATCTTGTATCCAGTATCGCAAGAAATATTATTCGCAAAATAATTATTGTTCAAATCGATGATTAGCGCACGATCTCGAGGAACATCGAGAAATTCGTGAACACCGACTTGGCTATTCAGAGACAACGACACAACGCATTATAAAGTAATAATGATAACTTAACGTTAATCGATTACTATTACGATCGCTCACATCGCGAAAAGTGATGACGACGATGATCATTGCGTACAAGTTGTCCTCGAATTATCGTGTTTCCTTTGAAAAATCATTCTGGAATAACAAGTAAAAACAATAATAGATATTCGAGCGTTTTGTGAATTTGATATATTTCAGCTTACAAATAACTCAAGTCGACATATAGGTGATTTATGTCGAATATATTCATGTGATCATTTCTTTACATTATTTGTAACTTAAAAGTTACTTTTCCACTATTTGAGCAAGTATTGTTGTTTTTAATTTTCTTTCTGAAGCATTGACGAGGAGAAATGCGATAGTTCGAGGACATCTGTGGTTAGAGAAGTTAGGCGTTAAGCAAGATACATTATTAAGAAGGAAGTTAAAACCATATGTGGTTAAGTAGGTAGACTTTAGCTTTATACACAAGAGAGTGCTGAGGGATATTCATGGAAATGAAAGAGAGGGAGAGTGAAAGAGAGAGAGAGAGAAAACTTTGTGAATGAATTCGAAAGAAAGAGCGTTAAAAAGACTCCGCATTTTCGACTGCCATTCGAGTTAGCAATGATTCGTTATACCAACATGTCCGAGCGAACTTGTGCGATGTTTATGGAAAGGAGTTATTGTCGCAAGAATTACATACAAGGCATTCAAAATCAATTGTGTCTTTTTACTTGCAGATTCTCCAGTCAATTTTGAATATTGAAAGTTTAACGAGACGTTATTTTATTCACAGTCTTAAAATAATAAATGTCACCTAACGATAAATAACTTTAAAAGTAAATTTTCAAAATTAATTAGCCTTATTTAGTTCATGAAAAAATGTATATTATTGATTTGACATTTTTAATAAAGAAAAAAATTGATTGAATGACAGAATTTGTGCGCAGAAAAAAGTGCCATTGATTGGAGATCTTTGTATATTGTTGTTATTATATTAAACAATCGCATTTATTAATATTAATGTTTTCTTTATATGCGTTAGATTAATTGCAAGAGTTTTATAATATTGTATAAACTTTTTCTCGCGCTAATTCAAATATATGAAGATTGTGTGAATTTTTTTTAAATTAAAATTTATCTAACGTTTTACTGTTTTAACATGGATATTATTATATTCTATCTTATATTAATCTATTGGAGCACTATAAAAAACAAATTATCATACTTGTAGAATAAAAAAATTGGAAAAATTTATTTAATAAGCAAATTTAATTTATGCAAAAGAAATAAATATTGAGAATAATGAGGAATAATGCTGAAGAAAATTTTAATTTTATCAATTGTTCTTATTTCAATTATCAAAGTTAAATTTAGCTTTCTTTTCGACAAACACTTCTATACAATTGAAAAGTATGATCCAATAGATTGAAATATTGACATGAAAATCTGTCGATGATCTAAATAGAACTTTCTATCTTATTTTATATTAATCGTCATATTTGTTCTTGACGATAGCGTACGTTCGATATTGTTGCGGACCAGACTCTTCGTGATTTCGTTAAACCAAGAAGCAATACTGTTGATGCCTACAATTACTATTATCGAACGAGTGCTTAAATAAATTACAATCAATTCAATCCTGGAACCTTAATACTGCTAACTTTAGACTACTAACTTTGATTCATGTAAAACTACTTGACAATTTAATTATAAACACAATTTAAGAAATTATAATTTAGTTATAAATTAATATTTTAATAATATAATATATATCAAAACACAAAATAATATTTTAATAATTATATTTGTCATTATTGGAAATAATTAGGGTTCTAGGATTAACAGCGAAAAATTTGAAAACTTATACGACAACTTTTCGCAGATCTGAAACATCTTTATAAAACAAAGTTAAACACCTCAGAAAGTAATGAAAGGATCAGTTGGAAGAAATAATGACAAAGATAATAAAGAATAAAGCTTGAATTCTAATCTATTCTCTAAGATATCTATGACAACTTGAAATCTAAGCTTATTTTTCTTTTATAAGCAGATATCTGCGAAAAGATGTCCTTAAATTAAGAACGATTTAGAATAAAATTGTTTGGGGAATTTAACAACACACACCGAATGTGGAATGTGAGAAGGAGTGAACGAGAATCGCACGAAGCTTGCTCGGAAAATGAATGGAAGGTCGCGAATGATCTGAAGATTGCCTGGACTCTTAAAATTTATGAATAAACTCTTTGATTTATAAATTCGTGCTTTGCTAAATTTAGAGATCTTTAAATTTTTTCTCTATATTTTTGTCCTAATGGTGATTATTAATTTTAGTCGTAAAATCAAAAATCGAATATATCCTAAGGAATATAAATCTTGGCTATTCATACAATTTAAATTTTAATTGATCGAGATTTTGTTTTCTTAATTTTAACGTCAACTATAAAATTTTGTGTTAAGAAATTGTAAATATATTAAATTTATTTATATTTTCTTTAAAGCGTTTATTCAATTTTGAAATTGATCTGACAATTAAATTTGAAGATATTTCTTTTGTTAATTTATAGAGCACAAAAACGATAAAAATATGCAACAAGATACATGCGTGTCACTGTTTTACTTATCTTCAACAGTATTTCAATCGAAGAATCCCTCTAATAATTAAAACATAACTGATATAAGTGTGATGCAGAAAAGAATCTTATTTCGAAAAGCGTAATATTAACTTGAAAGAAAATGCGTTGTATTAAAATAAATTTTGACTAAACGGATTTAATTGTCAGACCACTTATTTTTCTTGCCATTTGTCAAGCATTCACATTCTTTACTTTATGAAAAGCTGGGATTTTGGAATCCTCGAATCGGAGGACTATTTTGCGGCAGACGAAAAAGAGAACGCTGAAAAAAAAGAACAGGAAGCTCGCGTGAACAAAGGAAGCAAAGCAAAAACGACAATGTATGGCGGAGAAATAAAAACCCTTGTATAAAGTAGAAGTGCGTAGCGGCTAACCTAATCGATAAAGGAATGATACAAACGAGTTTATTGTTGAATATAATAATGTATTATGTAACATTAACAAAGTAAAAAAAGGAAGAGAAAGAGGCGAATGATGATAATATTATATTGTTGTTAGATATATATATTATATATATTATATAAAAAAACCTTAGAGATTAAGTGACCACCCAACATTCACCCACACAAGTATACACTCTCGCAGGATATACAGGGTGTCTCGACGAAAATGTATTCCAGTAGAGGAGACGCTTACTGCTCGAGTAAAAATTTGTGTTTGTTTTTTTCTAGCGATGACTTAATCCGAGATATTTGTTGAAAATTAATAAAAAGCAAAAATAACCAAATATTTTACTTTTTTATTAATCATACCGAATACTTCCTTGACAAAATTTTGTTTTAAACAAAAATTACGCTTATATTCTTAAAGAATGTTTTTTTTTGTTTTTCAACGAATGCAAAAAATCTCAAGAAAATTGAACGTTTAACATTTCTTATTTAACTTTTGCAACATTTGTAGTTACTATAATTACACGATTGTAACTTGTATCGCATTTAGACTTTTATTTGCGTTTTTTCTTTCCATTGTGTTATTTAATTAATATAAGCGCAATTGTCTTTATTAAATTATTGAATTAATATTTGTAATTTCTTAATAGTTTATAAGTTTATAAGAATTTGCTTTCTTGAAGGAGATTTAAATGTGACATTATCAAACAACAATTTTGTCCAATTTTAAATAAATGCTAAAAGTCAATTAGACTAAAAAATTAACAAACCTATCGTGTAAATTTAAGAATCCCATCAAAACATAATTGAACATTTTTGCTGTGTTTGCACATTATTGATTCTGTTAACGCAATGAAATTCCAATTTCAAAACATGAGCTAAGCATTCTTCATTGTGAAATGATTGCAGAACCATGTACGCGACCTTAGTGAATATGAAATTTTAGTACGCGTGAAAAGGTCTTTCAGATTGTTGTGTCGATTATGTGCATATGTGAATTCGTAATTTCTTACATTACCAGAATTAAATATTTTTTGTGTGTAGATTCTTTCTTATAATATTATAAATTTTTTTCATATAAAAATATGTATATATAAGGCCTAGAACAGTTTTCAGTTATATCATATTTGTTTATATATAAAATAAAATGAAGAACAAGAATCGAGTGTAAAAACAAAGCAGAAAAACACTTCTGGAAAAATGAAATATCATCGACAATATATCTGCTTGCTTTTGCGAGTAATCTCTTTTGTCGCGAATTGTCTCGCGGAAAATCTAATACTTGATATAAACTTTAAGAAACCAATTGCGGTAACTGATGATGCATTTCTCAGTTTTACTTTGGATCCGACAACGTTGCAGTACAATGATTTTATGTAAGTATTTAAAAAGAAGAAAAGAATACATGAATATATCGATAAAATATTAATTAATTATTTATTACAATTATCCATTTTTTCTTTAAAAGAAAATATCTTGTTTCATATTATAATAGTGTATTTATGTGAGAAAAAAAGATTTAGTATTACAATTCGTATTAATTGTTCAGTAAAAATATCGAGAAAAGCACGAATTTGGCGCAAAGCTTGGCACCTGCTTACATTCGCCTTGGAGGACCACAAAGCAATTTTTACAACTCTGAAGTATATTCTCACAAGATTACGGATGATCCAAATGACGTGCATTTTGGTAATATACATTATACATTATACATTATACATTATATAATATACATTGTACATTATACATTATATAATATACATTATATAATGTTAAATATGTATATATATTCCTTTTTCTTCTCTCTTCTTTTCCCTGTAGATTTTAGTAAAACCCAGAAAATTTTAGCAAAAAAATAATGTCTTAAAAAATTAAACAATAAGAAAAACTTTATAAGTTTTATAAATCTTTTAGTTTAGTTATTAACAAAATATGTCTTCATATTGGTAATACACGTGTCACTTATATGACAGTTTCATGATCGTTTAACGAGTCTGACCGCTATGAGTGCATTGAAAGGATAGCAAGGACGTCAATGGAAGAGGATGCTATTGCATAATGTTAATGTCGTTAATTTATTTTGCGGTTACTAGTAGTTATATGCGCGTCCATTAGCTTTGATGGCAAGAGCGCCTAGTGAATGTTATAATGTAACAAGCTTTGAGATAATAGTACGCGGTTACGAGTTGCGAAAGCGTTAATGTTCGCTGATGTAATATTTAGATTATTGCATTCGCTGACAGCGAATCAGCTGTCGAATCATATTTATTCAGATTGAGAAGGCGATATGTATAGTATATACATATCGCCTTCTCAATCTAATAAAGCACACGAAGAGTACGCTTCTTACCTGACATATAAATATTATACGCAAAGTCTGCTTGCGTATAATATTACAGTATATACAGAATTGGATGATTTCTTGGAATATTCTATATAAAAAGATATAAGAATAGGCTAACCCAAAATTCAATAGTCTATTTTTGCCTTGGTCGAAATATATTTTGACATAAAATATTTGTAAATTAACAGAATGTTTGAATCTGACAGGAAATCAATGGACACTTATGTATCAATGGGCAAAGAACGCCGGATTAGACGTAATCGCATGCATCTCTCCTCATTATATTGATAATGAATTGAAAACGGATTCTAGCAATCCCAGGAATATAATAAAACTTCTCTCTTTTTGCGATCGCATGGGTTATAACATTAGCTGGCAATTGGGATATGGTAAGCTTTTCAAAAATTATAAATGCCTTTTTGAAACAATAATAAATAGGACTAGATAAAAGCAGAGTATATAAACTGCACATTTTAATCATTGCAAAATATTTGAAAAATAATACTGTTTAAAAAATATAGATATACTTAAAATATTTAATTTTAAAATTTGTTTTAAAATTCTTTTGCTGCAGAATGCCAAACGAGATGTGACTTATCTGGTGGCGAGCTGGGACAATATGTCGCCAAGTTGCACAAAATGCTAAAAACTTTCCCAAGATATTCCAACAGTTTAATCACAGGACCAGATATTGTGGCATACAAGACAGTAGAACAACAGGAATATCTTCAGGATTATTTGTATTCGGCGAATAATGCGCTTTCTGCGATTACATGGCATCCGTAAGTATTTCATTTTTCTATGTAAATGTTAATTATAAAAAATTCAATAAGAAGAAAATTGTATTAATTTCGAAAACTATTTCGCTTTTTTATATTTTTTTCTATAATTTTTATAATAAATTAAATAAATGTATAATAAAACTAAGGGGCCGTCCATATATTACGTAAGCATAATTGGGGGAGGAAGGGGATCAGTCAAATTCTGATAAATAATTACATGGAGGAGGGGGGGGGGG